ATATATATATAATTATATTATTATTTCTTATTAATAATTATTGTAATAATTATTATATTATTTCAAAAGATAATAATTGTTAAATGTTGTTTCTACATTATAGCAACATTTAACAATCAATATAGCAAAATCAACATAGATTCAATGTTGAAAAAACCTTTATACTTCAACATTCAACATTGCAACGTCTCAGCGACGTTATTTCAACTTTCTGTGCTGTGTGGGATATTATTTATATATACCGTCGTCTCGGTAGAACCGATAAAGTAAAACTTTATCCGGAAGATATCCGGTGCCATTTAAAAATATGTATAGCATATATAGTCGAACTACATATATCGCCATTTTATTATTTTGCTTTTTCTATAGCGTGACTGCAATTATAGGGTAAGACGGACCCCCTAAGCGAAAATGGCTATATTTTTTATATTAATGACAAAAAATAACTGAAATTTAGCATGAAGAAACTGTAGAATGTTTATTATAAGATTATAATGTTAAATTTTCAAAATCTGCAAAAGTTTGAATTATTATTAAGATTTTTAAAAACTTAATTTTGGTCCGTTTTACCCCATAGGTAAGGTAAAATGGACCATTCCATGGGGTAAAATGGACCAAGCCGAGATAATATGGACCAAGAAATAATTTAACTGATCAACTCAAAATCAAAACTATATATTATTTATTAAATATTTTTGAATAAGAATAGAAATTAATTTAACATTAATCATTTTATTATACAAATCTTTAAAATAATTATAATCTTTATAATTTTTAACGTTTATATTAAATATAACATTAAATATAACATTTTAAAATAAAGCATGTAAATAAAATAAATAATTATTATAAAATCTGTTTTTATTTGGAGACATTATTTTCAATAAATTTCAAGTTTCTTCTACTTTTAACAGTGCGTTTTTTATTTTTCATAGCTTTTCCCAGTAAAAGAAACTGAGATGTAAAATATTTCTTAAATCAGAGCAAATATATAAGCAGAAAACTATAAGTAAAAAGTATAAGTAGAAAATATAAGTAGAACAAATATATAAATTGGTCCGTTTTACCCTATTTAAATTGGTCCATTTTACCCCACATAACAACATTAATATTATCTTATTTTTATTTACCTGTATCAAAATTATTTTTTAAATGTAACTGATGAAATATTACTTCTAAATAACCAGAAATATGGAACTTGTAGAAAAATTTAAAAATATTAAGTTTTGCAATCTTAGTCACTTAAAATGTAATACTAAGAAATTAGATCACGAGATCTATTTGCAAGAATTTGACGTTTCTTTATAAATAACTCATGATAGTCTTATGATATAATGACGTAATTTTTAAACGGTTTAAAAGCATCAAAAAGGAAATTAATTTTATGTTTATCCAGCAGATAGAGGTACTTACTAATAAGATCTAGCAAATGGACCATTTTACCCCGCGATCCGTCTTACCCCATCTTCCCTACTCTGTGCAAAAAGCAGACGCTTGCATAGACGATAGTAAACGACCCTCGGTTTATCGGTCAGTTCTATAGTGTCTTTCAATTTCATCGGCTTACAGTATGCGACTAGTTTATACACTTGAGATTCCTTTTCCATATTTTAGAATATATTTTATCTAGTAAGTAAATACCCAGTAAATACAAAGTAACAGTAGTATAACTCACTCAACAATATAATTGTTACGTACAAGGCATGTTATATTGCAGTTACATTGAATGGGAAATTATAACATTGACGTTATGTTACTGTTAGCTTGTGTTTACTGGGTATTGGAATAAATCAAAATTTAACAAATCAGAAAAAGGTTTTTACAATTATTAATCACAATTCCAGACTAAAAGTAATTAAGTCTCTAAATGCCAAAACATAGATTTTGAAATAAACAGATATAAATGAAAATACAGTTAATTTTTTGAGTAATGTATTTGATATTTTTATCGTGTTTATACTTGTAAAAAGTATTTTTCATAAAAAAATAAAACAATAGTAAAAAATGCAATTACAAAATGTGTTCAAAATTTATGAAACGCTCTAAGTGCCAAGAAGGATGCGAGTAATTTTTTTATTTAATTTTTTTTTATTTAACAAAACAAAGAACAAAAGATTAAAAAAATAACTGTTACAAAAGAAATTCATATTAGAAAAGAAAAATTTACTTGCAAACATTTGCATTAACTGATTAGCACTTGGAGCCTTAATAAATTATTAACTTATAATAAATTATTTATTGTAAGTCACTTATTATACGAATGGCACTTGGCGCTTTATACACGTTGTTAGCAATGGCACATAGAGCAGTTTTGTATTCTAATCGCGATTTTTAAAAAATTGGCATTTAGAGCCTTAATTACTTTTAGTTTAGAATTATCAAATCGTCTATTAAAGAGTCAACACAAATGTTAAAGAGCTATTAAAGATTTTGTTCAATTTCTTGTTTGTATAGAAATTTTATATGTATATAAAATTTATACATAATTGAGATTTGAAATCTAAAACTCTTGCTCTTTTCTCCGCACAACTACCGATAAACCGGAGATTTCCATTGAGTTTTTATTTGTAACCGGATGATCTCTTGGCATCTACTGCCCAACTAGGATCTCATATTCGGGAAAAGCAACCTCAACACCACCGAAAGGTATGTAACACACGCTATGAGAGGCCTGCACCTTGCCAATAGTCACCGTGCCTTCATGATGCACGCGACCGACAAACAGTGGTTCGCCGTCTTCAGTCTCACCTCCTGGAATCGCGTTTGATGGGATAGTATCACCGCTTGTTGCCACCCATGTGGGATTGCAATCGCAAAGGACCTAAAAGCAACGGAAATTTTTAACAAACCTTTTAAATGTACACTTTTTGTAAATATATATTATAGTTAAATTAGATTTTTATTTCAAATATATTTTATGATAATCAAACTTATCTAAGTTTTATCTTTCAGGCTTTTTTCAGATTAAGTAAGTTTTTGGAACTTTTCATATGTTGTCTTTAAAAAAATTGACGTACCTTGAAATTGACGTAAATTGTGATTTTAACAAAATTTAACAAAGAAGCCGAATGGTTTAGATTTGCAAAGCAAAGATATCGATCGAGAAGAAAAAAATCAACAGTAGAAACAGACCGATGAGCAAAATTATCCTTATTATTTTAAGTAATGTTATATAAATTTAATAAGTTAAGCAAAGAGTAAAAGTTAGACGAAGTTTAAATGGTTAAAAAATTTAATTCTTAAATTTTTATTTTATGTTTACAGCCAAATATTTTTTTACAATGTTTATTTCATTAATTTTTATTTTTTTTTTTACTTTAGAAAATGAAAATGTCAAATACTGAGAAAAGACTTTTAACTTGTGATAGATTAGTTATTGATTTATTTAGAATTAAAGCAGTTACAGCTAATGTACCCAAATAACAATTCTTGCGCGCAAAGTTTTATGCAAATAATCTGTGTAGCAGTTTGCCTGAATTTTGCTCGTGGGATATGTTTAGTCGTGTATAAGTCGTGTATTGCCCGCAAAGTGCAAGCGTTTTGCAAGTGTGCTAGCATTTTGCTACCGCTATGACAACGCACTGGGATAAGGTTTTGTGTGCGCAGTATGAGCCATTTTTGTACGTGAGTTGCTAGATATTTATGGGCATAATGTTTTCTGGGTAGATTATCCAGTGGCGTGACTTCAAAATTTGGATCCGGGGGCATGATCTTTTGAAGGTTCTGTTATTGAAAACAGTAGTTATAATACATTTTCCTTAGTAATTAGATTAGGCTTAGGCGGTTTAAATATCATAAAGTAAAAAACCAATTATGTACCTATACATTATATTTCTTTTAAATAAGAAACAATGCAGAAAACAAATTACAAAAACGTTAATAAATAGTTTTAAGTTTAGAGAAAGAAAAATAGTATGATCGTGCTTTACAGCTTTCTTCTCGACTTTGCGTTAGCAAATGACTGAATTATTTCGTCTGTATTAAGATTCTTCGCTTTGCGTTTTTTGATGGATATAATACTTAGATTTGACAAGCAATGTTGAGACATGGTGCTTCTTAGATCATTTTTTATCATTTTTAATTTGGAAAATGTTCGCTCTGCGTGAGCAACTGTTACAGGAAGAATGAGAAACAATATACAGGCTGTACAGAGATCGGAAAAATTCGCAGTTAGTAAATGATTCTCTACTAAAAAATTAAATCTTAAAAATTTTGCTAGATTATATACCGATTTAAGTTCACCAAATTTATTTCCAACTAAAGTTTTTAACTGTATAATTTGGTTTGCAAGATTTACTGACAAATCATTTGCATACTTTTGAGCTAGTTTTATAACAGACTGTTCAAGCTGTTCTTCAGTTAAAATGCAAATATTTTGAGGAATAATAGGTGAAAAGAGACTTGCAATTTCATTTAAACTTTGAAAACGTGTTTTAAATTGCGAAATCACTATATCCATTTTTCTAAAATAAAAAATCTGCGTCTGAAAATATTTTCTCGCATCCGATAATCTTTCTTCAAAATAATAATAATATTAAGGCTCCAATAAATTAACAAATAATCTGGTAGAAAAGGCGAAAAGAGTCGTTGTTAGGTGTTCGTGCCATAAAAATTCAACTATATTGTAAAGATTATAGAATTACAAACGTTTCTGCTATGTTAGGCCTTCTTCAGTGTCGTTACAAGTAAAATTCATAATAAAACAGTATTACATTAGTCGAACCATTAAGTAAACAAATAAGGTAAAGTACGCAGAGCATTCTTCTTAGTAAATAAATTCCATTATAGAAAGATAGAACAAATTAGAACTGCAACAATATTGCCCGTGCGAATTAACAATTTAGATTTTTTATATAAATTAATAGTACAACCTGTGATACATACTTGTAATTAAATATTGCATCTATATGTTCAGTAAGTATGAAAGAGCCAGAGATTAGTATTGTCCAACAATTTGCCTTCAATGTTCATGATAGGATTATTTTTTTAAACCGAAGTGTCAATGATTAAAAAGAATGAATAGTTAAATTAAGTCGGATGGTTGAAATGTACCGAAAAATTATAGCTACGAGTGTAAGTGCTCGAAGTGATGGAATAAGGAGGGGGTTTTTTGTGTTAACAGAGAGGGACAGGAAAGAGTGGGAAGGGGAGAGGGGGAATAGGTAGAAGGGAGAGGAAACATGGAATTATATTGGTGGGAATAAGTTTAAAACTTGTTGATATGCATTAGGTAAAGATTCAGTGTCGCTTTGTCTATTTAACCCATCTTTCTGTCTTTTTATGAAAAGCATTTCCAAAGTAAGTCTTTTCATGTATGAAGGTTCCTCATATAATATCTGAATGTTATTCTAATCAAAATCATGGGTGGAATCTAATTTGTGACGGGAAATGACAGAGGGAGAGCCACTTTTTTTATTAATGTCCGTCCTATGCTCTTTAATTCTTGTATTTAACTGTCTTTTTGTCTGTCCCACATAGGTAGCCTCACAGTCCAAACATGAAATCTTATAAACCATATCACAGTGGGACAGAGAATTCAGATTGTCTTTCCCTGTTTTAATAAATCTTTTTAAAACAATCTAACACATATAAAGGAATGGCTCTAAAGATAACAATCAATTAATATAATAGAAAGGCATAGAGAGCCGTCGCGGGATGTTAGTGCGAAATTATAATTTTTCTTAAAGAAATTAATTTGTTAGTCTACGTGAGACTGTTAAATTTGTACACCGATCTCTGGTTCGAGATACTTAAAGTGTACGAAAATTTTTTAGTACATTGTTCTCACATATGGAGAATCAGTATGTACTGATTAACTGTCTCACGTAGACTAACAAATTAATTTCTTTAAGAAAAATTATAATTTCGCACTAACATCCCGCGACGGCTCTCTATGCCTTTCTATTATATTAATTGATTGTTATCTTTAGAGCCATTCCTTTATATGTGTTAGATTGTTTTAAATCACGCGGGCATTATGACGCGTTTATGTCCTACAGATTTGTTGATTTCCTAATCTAAGAGAAATAAATGTTAGAAGCGTGGGGTCTGAGTAGTTTAGTGGTAGAACATTCGCCCGGCAAGCGGAAGACCCGGGTTCAATTCCCGGCTTAGCCACTCGCGCCCTGATATTTTTTCTCTCTTCCCTTCTTTCTAATAATTCCTATCAGTACATACTGATTCTCCATATGTGAGAACAATGTACTAAAATTTTCGTACACTTTAAGTATCTCGAACCAGAGATCGGTGTACAAATTTAACAGTTTCACGTAGACTAACAAATTAATTTCTTTAAGAAAAATCTTTTTAAGTTGTTAGGGATTGAGAAGGCTAGTTTAAAATCCGAGTTTCTAACAATCGAAATGAAATCACTTGCAATAGATTTTACGAAAAGTAACGTGAAAAATGTTTTGAAGTTTTCTTCCTCATTCTTATTTTTATTATTAATATTGTGCTCAAGAGTATGATTGGTTAAATGATGGTTGTGGATTAGAGATTTTAATCGATTGTTAATATTTTCGAAAATTACTGACAACGGATAGCAATTCCTCATTAGTATGTTGATCGTAATGGATAAATTCCTCTGATGAAATTTTGGGTGTAAAAGTAAAAAAATTCTGTCCACTAAATTAAAAATTACCCCTTTCTTATGTGAGAAGGGATGATGGGAGTAATAATTTAGATATCTCCCGGAAGAGGTGGATTTCTGAAACCAATCGCAAATTATGTTACCTTTATCTAAAATTAATGTAACATCCAGAAAGTTAATTTGGTTGTTTATACCTATTTCTTTCGTGAATTTTAATCTATTATGAAGTGAGTTGAAGGTTTCAAGGATGTTATTAAGTGTGTGAGAGGGAGCAGCTAAAACGATGTCGTCTACATATCTGTAGTAAAATGGAAGTCCGAAGGCTAGTTTATCCATTGCTTTCTTCTCAATGTCTTGTAAAACTTGTAACTTTGTAAATAAATTTGTAAATTTATCTTACCACCAATAGTTAAAAGTTTGAAAAAGTTTGAAAAAATTATATTTAAATTCTAAATTTAATCTTTAAATGTTGTCATTACAATTTTATAAACAGAACGTTTTAAAATCTTGGCTTACTACAATAACAGAGTATCAGAAGCAGAGCGCAACGTAAAATACAACTGCAATACAAATTCGGAAATACGGAATTTTATTTTTAATTTAACTGTCAAATAATTAGATTATATTTCAAATGATAACATTAATCGATAAAATAAGATCTTTTTTTTGCCTTAAGTTTAATCAAGTCATTTTTGATAGATTTTTTTAGCGCTGACGAATCTGGCCATAAAAATAGCGTATCACATCAAGTTTTTGAGAAAATCTCACAATCAGTCAAAGTTGCTAAAATAGGCGTTTTTAATACTTTTGCGTGACTTATATCTTTCAATAGAGATCTATTGAAAACGACTTATAGAATGTTAAAGCAAATGGTATTGGACAGTGTAATTAAAAATAAAAATAAACAAGGTATTGTCAACTTGACTTCGATATGTTTCAAGGGCCCTTGAATCCGGGGCCGTAGCCCTCCTGCCCCCCCCCCCACCCCCGGTAGTTACGCCACTGAGATTATCCATATAGGATATATGGATAAGTTTTCTCATCTTCTCATCTTTCTCTTTTACTCTACTTGCCTCATTTATGACTGGATAAATTTTATTTTATTTTTAAAAGAAAATATTAAACAATAGTATCAAAATAATAAGATATGACTTGTAGAATTAATATAAATTCTTATTATCGCTTGTGGCAAGATTTAAAATGATACGATTTGAAAAAGAGTGCGATTTTGTGTTGAAAGTTTCATAATTTATTAGATTTATTTAGCAATAATTTGTAGTTCAAAAAGACGTATTGAAATTATTAATATATAACGATTATTCGCAACATGTAACATAGCATGTTATGTACATAAGTAGAAGATTGTAACTTACATGTAAGTTGCATGTAACAAACTGGTAATATTACTTGTAACATTCCGTTTTATATTGCCTTCATGTGACATTAATACAACAGTGTTTACTGGGATCTTTACTAAATATTAGTCTGTATTAGTTTGCATGCGGTACGTTATTTACGCGTGATCACCTTGCAATCCTATTAGACTGAGAAGGATCCGAAATTAGGTCGAAAGGTTTCTACATTGTATCGATTGATAATAAAAAGTTTTTTTGTGCCTTGACATCCGCACTTTGGTTCTTTTTGTAGCTTTTTCTTCTCTTGATTTTATTGTTGTTAGAGAAGCAAACGTCACTCTATTTTTCATTAACATAGCACATGTAAAGTTTCATTGGGGAAAGACTTAGTTAAAATGCATCAATTTTCTGATAAGCAATGAGAATTGGCAAATATGTCGTCACTCACTTGATAATCAGTCTTTCCATGTTCTTCACCACCCCAGGCAATGTAACAAACCGAATGGCCAGGTTTCACCTTTCCAGGAATAAGAGCACCTTCATGTCGAGCTCGACCGACGAATAAAGGCTCGCCGTCATTTCCACCCTCAACAGCACCGGGCGGTACCATTCCACTGGATGCGTCGCACCAGTATGCGCTTCCTGCATCTAATCTAGCAGTATCCAACGGTGCGGATGGTGCCGTGCCGGGATCTAAAACGATATTCTTATACTTAATAAATAATGCAAAAAGAATGTTCACGATTATACTGACATAATTGGAAAAAATATTGAAATAATAATAAAGAAAATATAATGCAGTAAATTCATTTATCCTCATATAATCAAGCAATATCAATGCGTTTGCGTGCATAAATCCTAATTTAATGCGGTTAATAGAGTACATATTTAAGGAATAATGAAAAAGTGGAAACCAAAACCAAAAATTGCAATTACAGAAAAACATATTAAGTTGTTAATTAAACGCTTACAGCTGCTTAAGTTAGGGCAAGATTTTCAAAAGCCATGTCATAGTTTGATGTGCATGAGGGCGTATACAGATTAACGTCGCAATCAAGCAAGAAGATTTATCACTCAACGATCTCGAGATTGCGTCAATACCATTTATCAATTATGAGATTACAGCATTACCTCTTGACATTGACATCAATCTCAGAGATTATCGAGACATTCAGAAAGATCATTACGTTTCTTTTGACCGGTAGTGACTGCGGGATAATGTTCGAAACGAAGTTTCCAGTTTCCGGTCGCGCCCCAACCAGTGCGCACCCCTACGTAGCTCACGCCAATAGGATTCGGATCACGCCATTCCATGAGCACGGCGCCGTTCTGGCCACCTGATCTGACCGTGATCAAGCCTTCGAGCCACGTGATTGAGAATCTCTTGTACTCGTGTTCGCGTAGTAGATGCGGGGTTTCCACGCGTACCTAACGAGTCGCAAAATTTCTCAACGTGAGAGCAAAGACGGATGCGAGTGCCACATCGAGCAAGAAACGATTATTTAATTCATAATAATTGCCAATTCTGGAATCGAATTAACGAGATAATTTTCGAACCTTGTCAGGCTGTTTGCGATCATATCTAATAACTGACGCCTGGTTTTCCCATCCGCCGAACATGATCTCGTACATGGGACTCGATTCGCCCTTCCGGTCGGTCAACGCAATGTGCCCATTGCTCTTAGCTTTCACATCGATCAGCACCGAGCCGCTTCGTACGGCGTGGAATTTGTACTCGAGCTTATTAAGCGTGTTCAAGGGTTTGCGACCTTATCAGATGTAAAAAATGAAAAAATAAATTATCTGTTGAAACTGTTAAACTTTAAACGAACCATTTGACTGCATACTGTACATTGGATGAGTAATTGGCAGATAAAATAATCATATAAAACAATTAAAAAAGGAAAAATATAAGAATAGAAAACTAGTGTATTTATAAATGCAAATTCAATTTTGTCATATCTCGATAACAAATACATCTCTGTACATATACATATTTACATTATATCTTTTCTGAATTGAAGAAATTTCCTTTTCATAATATTTTCATCCCGTAATTTTGTGTTCTTTATTACTGAAATCGATAATATTTTTCATTAGCCGAAAGCAAAGAAGCAATCAAATAAATAATTCTGAATGTCAATTGACAATGAATAGCCAACTAAACGGAAATCAATGCCTACAATCGTGCCTACAATGCCCTCGTCTATCATAGCTGTGTCTACCGTGCTGTGTATCAACGTGCTGGATTAATGAAATAATTGTGATTTTCTTAAAAATATGAAATATAATATAATTCTGGAAATAGAATTTTTTTTTACGACAAATATTTTTTAATCCAGCATCATACGTAATAAAGGGCAATTCGTGCTAGGATAGTATCAAACATACTCAAGACAGAAAAGCAGAATCTAGAGGACGTCACGTGCGACTACGCTCTCGCTAGATCTTTTTCGTGTATGTCCAAATACATTACGTACAACCACCATAACTTCCGCCGCAGCATATGGCTGTGCGAACCGCGATGCATTAGTAGATTGTCCGTAATCCGAAAAGGATGCCAAAAAGAAAATTATCGGAAAATCAGAAAGTAAAATACCAATCTACAAATAATATCTACGGAGATTTCAACAAATTGCAAAATTTAATTATTTTATTAACAATAAGTATAATTCTCTTTGCTATTTCTACCTTGTATTTATAAATTTTCTTATTTTCTTATAATCTGTAAAATAAAACTGATTAAGAGAAAAGTATTAAGAATTACAAAAAGGCGAAGTTCTGTAAAAGTAATGTGTATCACCTTTAGATTGCAGGTAAAAAAAGAAAATTTATCTATATACCTTCGATGAGCCAATCGCCAGTGGCACCCCAGCCGGTGCAAACGCCGAAATAACCAATTCCAAATGGTTCTGGATCAGCGAAAGTCAGGAACGGAGCTGAATCACCTTCCTTGCCTACTGTGAGAACACCATTATCCCACCTGACAATTTCATAAAACGAATGAACTATGTTACGTACATAATTTTAAATGCATTATTTTAAAATCAATGTTAAAAATCGACGACATAAATAAAGTAATACTCAAAATTGTGAGATAAGAAATCGTGTATGACAAATATTTAATTTAATGACTTTTTAATGTAAAAACAAGTGGGTACCTGATCCAAAAACCGCGATAGTCATCTATGTTCAGAATGCCAGGTGTTTCTACCTCCGCCACCTCCGGCTTGGTTCTATTCTTGCGTATGACAGACTTACTATTACTCCATCCTCCGATAAAAACCTAAAAAAAAAATACAATTCTGAATTACATTTATCGATTACATTTTGTAATTATATTTATTGTATATTATAATTTAATCATCGACTTATTTTAAAATTAAATTTTATTTTAAACAGCTTATATAGCAATTATAAAGCTGGAATTGGTAGATTTATCGTTAGAAGTATATTTAATGATAAATTTATTATTCTACATATCGGATTTTTAAAATAAATCTCAGTTTTTTGTCGAGCAAAGTACAGCTTGCTTAGCAATTGCTTGCTTGCAAATTAAATATTTGTTTGTTGAAGTTGTAATCAAGTACCGCTCGTATCACGATTTTTTCACGTTGCGTAAAAGTGTGCTGCATAAAACACCATCATTGGAAAATACAAAATTGTTTATTACAATTCAATGTATTTATATTTATGTATATATCAGGAAGATATAAAATAAAATATCTTACTTCGTACATCGGATCTCCCTCCTGCGGACCCGTGGTAAGAGCGATGTGAGCATCATTGGGCGCTTTTACTCGGAACTGAATTTGCCCCGCCGTCACGGGATAGAAATTGTACTCCAATTTGTCTTCAGTGGAGAGCGCTGGAACGTAAAGAATTGCGTAAAGTCTTGGAAATTATTGTAATCAAATAATTTCTACGTTTTCCAAATTGCATGATGTTTGAAATTGTATCGATAAATCAATCATAATCGCAATCATTAGCAGCGACCCATGAATTGATTAATATCAATGAATGTTTTCTACAATTGCGAAACCAGCGCAAATGTGTCATTGCTCAATGTTGAGACATCTCGACGCCAGACTGACCATATAGTCGTCAAGAAAGTAGGACAAAGCAGGATTCGATCGATATCGGGCGCTAGTGGTGATAATCACGTACAGACATAGCTTACATTACATTCTGTAATTCGATTTTAATAGTGGACCTGCAAAAGTCATTCGACATGTAATTGAGCCACATATGTACACACGTGAAACTGCGCCGTTCGTTTTTTACGACCTCGTAAAAACGGAGCATTTCGATATTTGACTTGCAAAAATGAGTCATTGTCATTTACATTTGTCAGCAATAATAATCTTCGCGTTAGCGCTATCGGCGATGCATGTTAACAATATTACAAAAATATGAACTATTGATAATTTCGATAAGATGCGCAAACTTTGAATCATCCTGTATTCTCAAATCAATCAAATTACGTGACTATAAATTCTTATTATCGTAATATGTGGCACAATTTTCCGCTAAAACGTCTTCTTCGTAAGAGTTGAGTAAATAGTTATTCTTAGTTGAATGAGATCACGTTATATAGTAATAATAAACTTACAATTCTAATTCATCATGTATACTTACAATGACTGCCGTTTAGTTCTTTCAGTTTAGAATTCTTTTATTGTTTTAATTTTATCGTTTTAATTCGGCCAATATAAATAATTAGTAAAAGAATCAAACAGCTTCAATAAATTATATAGTTATCCTGCCTAAACAATTGATGCAATCAATTTGTTACTCTTTATGTACAGTTTTATAATAGCACAAAACTTGTAGAAAGACATTAATTTCAAGGTCGTTTGAAATACGCAATAGCTAATGTTTTTTTCTACTTTTGTTTTTTCTACATGTTTTCCTGGGGAACGCATGTAGAGAATAGTAAACTGAATAGTATGCAAGCAAGTAGACAAACGTAATAATTATAAATAGTTAGCTATAAAATACATTGCGGTCTGTTCGATTCAACGTGCATGATGTCAGAGACAATAGTGACATCATATACATTGTAAATGAAGAAGAAAATACACGTAAATACATTTAGAATATTCCTCGCATAAGAAATTTAAATTCTTTTTAAACTACACATTGCGGAATATACACTATTCCCAATATTAAAATCGAGGTTATCGTCAGACATGATAGGTCTAATGCTACCACGATGATGTCATTCTTATTTCGATGTCAATTACTTCACATTACACGACGTCCGCGATCCAGAATAATCGCCGCCGGTCCTTCGATACGCCCAGTAACGCGATACGTCATGAAAAGAAGCAATACGTCCTATTTAGCAAGAAAGTTGTTAATATCCGTTAATTGTATTTTTCTCTCAAAGATTAAAGTTATTTCGACTCGCTTGCGTCCACGCTCCGATATTTATTATACACGATGTTATTACAGAGTTTAAACAGCTTCGAGTTATAGACAAAAACTGCTTTAAGTATTTGTAAAGTTAAAATTTAGAAATTGTTTTTTGTATTGCATATAAAGATATTTCGTCGACGACTCAAGATCTTGAAGGTTCAAATCGCGTTAAATTTCCCCGCGGCAAATTGATTAACTCCTATAAATGTGGGTCATGCCTTGCTCGTAATTAACATAACAACGCGAAAATTAGAGCTATTGAGTCAATTTGCATTGCGCAATTGCGAATACCATTACTGATATTCATTCCGGTGCATCTGCGCATATAAGCAAATTCTCATTTCGCGTTTTGCAAAGTTTTATGTATTGCTTAAAATAAATTATATCCTATGTAAGCGAAATGATTCATCTTTTATTTTTTTTAGCCGTTACATAATGGAACAAATGAAGTAAATGGAATAGAACCAGACAATATTAACGATTACGTGTGTCTCAGGATAAAATAATTCCTAACTTTAACTTTCGACTTCACGCTAAAAAACAGTCGCGCGCTAGTTAATCCTACGGTAAATCACGACCGATAGTTCTGCAACGGTATGTAGAACTATTCGTGGAGCTATTTGCCGTCATGCTGCCATTGACCTCGCATGGCAACTATCGTTGCTTTTTCCACCAGCAAGGTGGACAACTGCGTGTAATGTGTTGTGAATATTACACGAATTTAAGCTAAAAAAATCCTTTTATAAAATTTAATCAATATAAAACACATTTAAATAATGTCGTATTTTTGCGCGATAAATATTTTTGCAATTAGTGATCAACAATTGATTGCAACAATGTTTTTATATTGTCATCAAGCTATTTTTAAGCTATTGTGAAGGATTCGTATCGTTTCTCAAGCGATATCAGTGCACAAACTTGTTTTTTCTTCGTCTTGGTTATGTTATAAAAAAACTGATAAGCAAACTTCGAAAGATAATTAACGAGTTGCCGTAAAATTTTTAATAGTCTAAACTGTGTCTGCACGATCTTTTGAGGAATAATTTACGTGACTATAAAAGAGCCTGGTCGACGGGCAAAGGTTACAAGTAATTAGAAACACGCAATAGAATAGTCGCGCTTCAATTTCACGGTAAGGTGAATGAGAAAAATGTCTATCCCTCGCGCAACAAAATTTTTATAACGCTCCTAAAGATTCCGCTTTGATAATTTCCAAATAAGGTGTATGATCATGAAGATGAAAAGGTGATGAAGATATAAATGTATTTTGCACTATAAACACAATGCAGAAGTGTTGAAAACCAAGAATAGATTTAATTATGAGAAACTAGATTTTCGACAAACTGATTAAATTACTAGCATAACAAAAGAGGAAGAGGCGACTTTAAACGAGACGAAAAAACAGAGAGACGGCGAGTATTACGAAATACAATCTGGAAGTCGTATTACACAAGGCCGCGAAGAGATCGCGTTCTTATGACATGATGTAATCTGTTATATTTGACGAGAGACTCGTAATCAGAAATTATCGAAAATAAATATATAATGTGTACACACGAAAGTTTTTCGTGATTTAATACGTCATAGCTAGCATTTTTGTTTCGATTTCTTTTTATTTTATTTATATCGCAGAACAAAGAACCAAAATGAGGTGAGTGTTTTTCATAAATTGTTAAACCTTCACACGTGGATCTTCTCTTCGGAGTTCTTTTGACGCAAATTGATTTTCTGAAGGAGAGAGAGAGGTTATAAATTTTAAATCTTTTAAATCCACAAAAATATTTATTAATTGTACTTTCACAAAATTATTCAAGTGTTTAATGTGACATGATTGTAAAACATCGAGATGCCGGCCGGCTTGCTAGTCTACCGGCTTGTCAAACCAGCAGCCGTGCCTCAGCTCTATATTTAGAGAGCTTCTAGAAAAGTATGACGTCGTGATTTCTTTAGAAGAATTATTTACTACTTTTAATGCTTAAAAATTTTCTCAATCGTCTTTCATTTTGTCGCTTTAAAATAGAATAAAGTTTTATATGTGAAATTAGTAGCAGGCAGTTTTTAAATACTAACTTTAAAATTGAAGTCCGGAAATTAATCAATAAATAAAAGATAAAGACAAATTAATCTTTTAGATATTAGATACAATATTTTTTTTTTATTTTGGAATTTTTAAATCTGAGCGTATAACGTCGTGTGTATTACACAATATTATGAATATATTTAAATCGCGTTTTTGTAATCAAAAAGCTATTCTACTCCAAAGAGTTATAACAGCAATGAATGGAACAGATTCTATAAAAAGTCATAGCTCACAACAAGAATATTGCAAGGAAAATAAATTGGCTGCTTACAAAATTCGAAAATTTCTCTAAATATATATATGTGTGTATAAGAATTTGTTAAAAGGATATAAATAATGTTATGTATAATTTACAAATGGTGATAACTAAATATGCGTTTTTCGATGTTTAAAAAATTATTAAAGTTATTGCAAAGCAACATAAATTTTAAAATACAACTTTTTACGTATAAATATTATCAAAATATATTATAAATATAACTTACAGACTGCCATGTCGCTTTTTTAGTTGATATATAAAACTCGTACGGTTGGAAAATAAAACACCACGATACACACACGACAACGGCGGAATGCGTACTGCGACGCGGCGCTGAATTTTAACGTCTTTGCAACGTACTGACAGCATGGCGCATGCGCGATATGCAGGTGCAATGTGTATGTGCTATGCGAATGATAATTAGCGGGTGAGATGAGTCACGACGAATCGGCGATGTAGATCGTATTCTGACGATCTGCATTCCAGATCTGCTGTACATCCTATTAATTGTGACGTAAAAAATTATCAGGCCTAAATATAATTTACTATCACACAATTAAATTGTTGCTTTTTAATTAATAATCTCATGATTCGTTATACTATCTTTTACTCGTTGCAATCATAAGCACTACATACGCAGTATTTACGTGATAAAAATTCATTTTGGATCAGTATTGTGCAATTTGTGATTCGTCATAGATTGCAATTAAATTTTTTAAATAATACAGACAGTAGAGATTATTATAAGCGCTTATGCATTAATCACTCTGGAACAAACAACAAATGGCTCGTAGCTATTATCATTTTTTAGTCGATGACTTCAAACGATTCAGCAATTTTTAATAAGTGTTTGAACTTTCTATCTGATACGTTTGATAAATCTATAAATATGGTGTAGTAAGTTGACAGCATATGTAATAATAACTATGAAATAACAAAAATAAATACAATTTTGTTGCAATTAAATTTTTAAGCGATAATGATTCTGAATATTGATAATATAAATAAATATTATTTGATAGTGACTACCCGATTTATGGTTACTAGGTACCAACAACTGATATTGAGCTGATGTCCAAGTTTTGTATATAGATCTTTTGTAGCAATCGGAAGTACTGCGAATAAAAGTAATTGTTGAAATATATACTAAAGAATTGCTCTTTAATTGCTCCTTTGACATTTATAATTGCTCCACTTAATTAATTAATATTAATAATGCTATTACTAAGGCACTAGATATGTAGGTATTCTCATCCGCCATTTTGGTTCCTATTAGATGAAGAATTATAGCGTATACAGGGTGACACTTAAAGACTGCCCACTAAGCACATAGCATTATTCCTTGCCAAAAAATGAGTCGAAAAAAGTCCTGAATCATTTTTAATAATTGACGTGTTACACATGTACGCTATACTATACTATATACGCTATAATTCTCCATCTAGTAGGAACCAAAATGGCGGATGAGAATACCTACATATCTAGTGCCTTACTATTACATGAAAACAATTACCAATTTTTACTTAGCAAATAACCCTACTTACACTTATTTTTTTTTAAATCTGTTTTTATAGAACGATTGTTTCTAAATTGCTTTTTTAATTCCTATTGTTAGATTTTTTATTTTTGTTGAATTTTTATTTATAAAAATTAATAAATGTTGATTATTTGATGCGTAAGATCAGTGTTGCCAATTATTGAAAACAATGATGCACAGAAAGCATTAGATTTTACAAATTTTTTAAACTGTTATATATGGTAAACTCACATATATCTATATTATAACTAAATCGCTAACTTCCATTGATTTTGTACATAAAATTGATATCCAAAAACCATGTAATATGGTGGTCGCGTATGCAAAACGTTGGTAGGAAAGTAATATGGCGAATATCTGTGCCGATACGTACACGTATAAACATCGGGTGGACTTCCGAAAAGCTATCACCTCCGATTTGGCTGATATTCAGCCTAAATATTTATTTTATCTAGTAAATAATATTTCCAAATGGATTTTTGGCACAAATGCCCCCTCCGCCCCCCAGCCTCCCCTCAAATGTAAAACTGTTTTTGTTAATTATTTCAGAAAGTATTTATTGTACGGAAAAAGTTGTCAAACAAAAAAATAAAGCTCATAAAAAGCTCTACAAATAAGGTCCTATACATATTTTACCTAACTTTAATATTTTAGTCGTTATTATCAAAAAACTTGTAAAAGCCTCCGTAAGAGGGGCGGCACCCACTGCATCCACGCATACACTTTACAACGCGAAGCGAGGTACTACATGGGTTTACGACTTTCTACGCAAAGCGAGATTCAATCCAGATTCTATATGTGTATAGTTTTCTTATGGTGGAGCCTCCCGCAGGGGGGGCAAAACACACTGCCTCCAGATTTCTGATAATAACGACTAAAATATTGAAGTTAGGTAAAATATGTATAGGACTTTATTTGTAGAGCTTTTTATGAGCTTTATTTTCTGTTTGACAACTTTTTCCGTACAATAAATACTTTCTGAAATAATTAACAAAAGCAGTTTGATTTTTGAGGGAGACTGGGAAGCGGAGGGAGCATTTACGCCAAAAATCCATTTGGGAATATTATTTACTAGATAAAATAAGTATTTAGGCTGAAAATCAGCCAAATCGGAGGTGATAGCTTTTCGGAAGTTTATCCTAAACATCATATACAGAGTACCAAAAAAGTCCCGAACCGGTAAAATATCTTGAAAACACATTTGAGAAAAAAATGTTTCATATAAAAGTTGTAGTTTTAAGTGACGCATTAGACAGAAATATCTGTGACCTTGATTAGTACTTTGATTAGTGCCTTGATTAAGGTCACGTAAAAATCACTTTAAAATTTTTTAACGGAAATTCCTACTTTTTATTGCATTTTCTTGTAGTCGATCTCGAGAGCTTTTCAAAACATTAAAATAGAGTTATTTTTTATTAAATATTTTCTGAGTTATGAGGCTTGAAAGTTACGGTAGAGTGAGAGAGAAAGAAGCGCGTTGAGCGCGTTGTCTCATTCTCTTTCATTCAGAGAAAGAGAATGAGGCAAAAAGAAAAAACAGGTTAAAAAGACGTATATTAGATGCGTATAGACGTCCATAAACATCTAATAGACATCTAATAGACGTTCGATCTGCATTTCTCAGGGGGCAGTGTCCATAAATTACCTACATTCTATCTCGTAAATTAATTTTATTGATAACTTTTTAATAAATAACGAATGCCAGCTAAAATCTTTTGAGGGTTGCTCAGGGCTGTGTCAACAACATATGTTAAGATCAAAATCATTGGAGCTGCAATGCATAATTACCTAAAATTTTATTTGAACAGAGAAATATAGTGTTAGATCAGAGTAATATAAATTTATCAAAATAATAAAATTAAATATAAAGAAATAGATGATATAATTAAATAAAAATGTACGGAAAAAAATTATTTTAAAGTTTTCGCTATATATTTGAAAGTTCTATTCGCATTACTTCTTTCAAATAGTGTCCTCATAAAATCATCATAAAATTAACCATCAAATAAAGGAGGGAGTCTAAAAAGGGAGTCTCACTGGCCAATTTTGGTCGTAAACGGACACCTTTAAAACTTATGCAGTTATCATTTTGATAGTCCATACAGTCATGAAAAGAAGCTTATTTACCCAGGAAAGCTTGGGAAACCTTCCAAAAATAATAAATAGTTTGAACGCTTTGCAAAAAACTCATGTTGTTTCTAATGAACAATGATAGATTTCAAAACTAATAGTGTGTTTACATTTAACACATGTTGGACCATTAAATACTGTAAGAATACGCTATCAGGAAGATACACAAAATATATATTTATATACAGAGTGTTCAAAACAGGTCGGGGGGACCCCTGAATAACTCCGAAAATATGCAATATAGAAAAAAATATTCCATACAAAAGTTGTAGGGTTTTAAGTGGCGCATCAAACGGAAATATTAGTGTAACCTCCCAGTAAACAATTTGTCAGCAAATTGTCGCCAAATTGGTATCAAATTTATTCAAACCTTGTTGCCAAATTCCATGACATCTGTGTCCGCATTAAGCTGGTGTTTTGTCACCAAAACTTGGGGACATAACCTGACTGCAAATTGAAGCCAAAAATTGAACAAAGTCTGCATAACATTATCTAACAGCAAATTAATACCAAAAACTGAACAAGGTCTGCGTATGCAATTTGACCGCAAATTGAAGCCAAAAACCGTGCAAAATCTGTTGTTTCTTAATTATTAAAATGATCAGGTCGTTGATTTGCGGTTTTCAAATAATATTAAAATGAAAATTACTTTTTATTTTATAAAT